ATTAAAATAACAAAACGCATGCCTATGTTTATCCACCGATACATCAGAATCTTTGAGACTGGAAGAATCCGATGAGCTTTGAAGCTATTTTTCACGGATGCCCACATAAAGACCCTCCCCACGCGGTGTCAATCATTGGGGTTTGTTTGACCATACTTCACCACCGCTGTCAGAGCGGATTGGTTAATGCTTGTGGGATACCCAGAGTCCACAGTAATTCAGATTTCGATTTAAAGCTTTCGTGACTGCGGGGATTCATATTCTTGGTTCTTTCGGTAAAGTCACCACGTAGAAGGGGAAAAAACCCGCCACTTTGTTCAAATTTTCTTGCTGTTTTTGTTCACACACCTGATGATTGCTTGTGTTGCAATCGAAACGTCGTGAGAATTGTATTGTTTTATTTTTATTATTTCCCCTCTACGTGACTTTACCGAAAGAACCAAAAATAGTAATTCAGTTGTCACTCTGGCCACTGACGTTTCAGCCGCGGTCGGAAATTGAACTCAATTGTCGCGGGTTTCATAGCGCAGCGCGCACACCGCTGCAACAACCATTTGACCCATATATGCGCACTCGGTGCATAACTTCACCGAGGCTAAAGATAGAAAATTGCTATCGGTATGAATGTAGCTTCGTTGTTGAACGGGCGTGTATGTGTATGTGTGTGCGAGTGCCGATGGCAATATCAGCAGTGGCTGTGGTGGTGGTTGCCCTTGGCAAACGCGCACGGGAACACGACCGCATGGCGAGATGGAACGACGGAATGGGCTCGTGTGCACAGGAGCTAAGTGGATTCACTGGATTTTATATATTAGTGTATTGGAGGAGCCGTGAAAGATTACCACTCAGAATCAGAATTTATTCATACTGGAGGAATCCGATGAGCTATAAAGCTATTTAAAAAAAAAACGATGTCCAATCGGGATGGGAAAAAAACGTTACAAAAATAACACAAAAAACACGATAGCAGTGCAAAGTATAGGACAGGTGATAATGACAAAATACAAATAAACCTAAACTATTTGTTTTCGTATATCAGGTAAAGCCCCAACTGAGCTATGCTCTCGTTTCAGAAGCGCCCCCAAATGGCAGCGCTCAACTAAAGCGGCTTCATCACGCTGACACGTCGGCCTTCATCCAGCAGTGGATAGGTTCACAGCTGCCCCATAACGCTGCAGCGTGACGTCCGGGGTGTCTCGTCGAGTACAGTGCTCCGATCTTGAGTACAGTGCCTCCAGCCGTAGTGTTATATAAAGCGCGCGCGCCTCGCATGGGACGCGCGTGGGATGGAGGGGGAGGGGCGGGGCTCAAGGGCTGAGGGGCGGGGCTGAGGGGCGAAGAGGGGAGGGGCTTTGCGAGGAAAGGGAGGGGGTGGGTACTCTTGGCAGAGCTGGTTGTATTCCCTACAACGAATAGGCGCTCGGCCCTATGGCGTTGCTCGTTAAATCGCGCGGGGGGGGGGGCGGGCGGGCACCTTGACCAATCGCGAGCGCCGTCACGCGCCCGCTATCGCGCATTCTGAATATGAAATGCAAAGCGGCGGCCGCGACCAGACGTCACGTGACCTGAGATGATGGGGCGGGGGGGGGATTGGTGGGCGGGGGGTGGAGGTGGCCCGGGGGTGTCGGGGAGGGGGATGATGAGTCAGGGGCGGGGCTCCGGGGGATTGCGTGGGTGGGGTGAGTGGAGGCCAACGTAAGGGCGGCTACCATTGGCTGAGAACTTGCCGCGACGTCACGAACGCGGTGAATCGGACCAATGAGAAGTGGCGTTTCAGTTTCGGAACTTTTGTTTTGTACCCGCCCCCCTCCTTTCTCTCCCCACCCCCTTGGCCCCATGTTAACCCCTCCCCTCAGCCCCACACAAACCCCGCCCCTCAGCCCTCACTTCGTATGGGTCCGAAGCAGAGACCATAGCGCCTTCAGTGAAATAAAAACCCCATACATATGGGCACAATCGAAACGTCACCCCCCTTATTTCTGCACTTAACAGCATCACGAACAAATATGAATCGATTTGAATCTTTTTTAAGCGAGCATAAACTGTTGCCTCGAGCCTTCATAGTTCAACATTCGCTGCAAAAGTTTAGATGTACAGTACATTTTGTTTGTGATACTGTGTTTGGCAGTGGTGCAAAGGTACGAATCAAACAAAAGTTGTTTTAACACATCAGCCAACAACACCGTAATTGAAAGAAAACAGCCAACGTATTGGGGAAATTGCCCTTCATTTAATCGATAAGTTGGTGTCAATTCACGTGGTTTCTATTTTAAATACCTGTATTTTAACACGAGACACGTGGCGATGCAATTCATGAAACATTGTGACGTCTTTGCTGGGGGAGGGGGGGGGGGCACCATCCATCATTCCTTGTGGTCCCGCTGGAATAACAAATCCTAAATATTTGAGCCCTCTTCCAGTTCGCCAGCCAGCCTGCATGCCAATTGTACTCGGCACTGATAACCCTGGTGACCATGGTGGCTTTGTTACAAGGAAGTTAAGCAAAGTCTTTCACATTATGAGAGGACATCCACCGTAGAGATGAAGCTATGAGGCCAGCTCGTGCTCAATGTTGCAACTGCCGAGCCAGGAAGTTGAACCGGCAAACTCTGGTTTTTGCAAGTGCAATCTACTAACCATGGCATCGATTTCATTTTAACTGGCGCCCCTCTATCATTACAATCACATCCAGTTATTTAGAGTGATTTGTGTTTTTGCGTTAAAGTGCATCTATCTAAAACGATCAAAGATTATTTTATCTTAACTTATGCCTACTTTTTTGAGCTCATGTAATTAACCTTGCTTGTGCACTTTAAGACAAATGTAGGTCTCCCTTGAAAAGGAAACCGCACTTCAGTGGCTTCTTAAATAACAATTTACAGCCTTTATGAGTCATCTGGCTGATTAAGTCCCTTACTACACCATATCGGTAATGGGGGTTGTTTGACCATACTTCCCCAAACTGGTGATTGTAGAGCACCAGTTATACCAAATGTATCCTGTTTGACATAAAGGACACGCATGTAAAGTGCAATGCAGTGTATAGAGTGCATAACTATACTGAAACATCAGCTCGCGTGCAGATGCTAAGTGACCCCACATGACCGTGGGAGATGGCCCAGGATAGGGGTCGCCTTCATACAGCAGTGGATTGACCAAGTTAGCGCTAAAGGTGATGATGAAAATATACTGTCATGTATAAAAGGTAGAAATGTAATTTCCGCTGCTTAGACCTTAACTAAAAAAAACGGTATAAATATATTGCTTTGCAGAAGGGCCACTTTTTGCCAAAAAACGTCACGTCATATATTTTTCAAGGCAAGTGTTATTGAAGAATGTGTTGAGTTCTTTTTTTGAAAAATACAAAAGTATCGTAGTGTTTTTTATTGATTGTTTGTCTGCTGCAGTATGCACGAACTAGGCTCAGCGCTGGGGTGCGGGTGAGGTCATCACGCCGCACTTCCCCGCCAGTCAGCCAGTCGACCAGGAAGCCAGCAAAACTTTTTGTTCCTAATACAGTATAATGTAGGTCGAAACTTTAACTGAACAGAAAAAAAATGTTGGTACAGTGAATTAGTTGCTACATTAAAACAAATGTGAAAGATTATCACTTATTTTGTATTATTATTTTGGAGCACGAGACCAATCACTTGGTGTATATAGTTCCGTTCTCCATAATTGTTCTTGTAATTTTCAACGAACGATTACAAAATAAACCCATTGAAACAAAAAAAACGTGCGTACGTTTGCAGACGTATAATATAACTCAAATACATTGCGATTTCACTGTATCCAGTCCCCACTCCTCACGCGCCCCCATTTGCTCCCCCCTCGCGTGTGATCTCACGAGATCGTGACGCGTACACCCCCCCCCCTCGTCTTGCCTCCTCCCCCTCGTCCCCCCCCTCGTCTTGCCTCCTCCCCCTCGTCTCTCCTGGTCCCCCCCTCCCCCGTCTCTTAAACCAGCCCCGCCCCTTACCCTGCCTTTGCCTGGCCACTCGTCCGTGCTCCTCCTGAATCTCCATTCTTGGCATTCGTCTCATTTACCCACAGGGCCTCGTCTCTTATCCGGCGACCTCTCCCACCCCACCCCCTGCACCACCGCACCACTCACCCCACTCACCCCACTCACCATCAGTTTCCTACACTCCCCGTCTCTGGACAGGCGCTCTTGTGTTTTACACGCGCACCAATCTGGCGTCTTTGGCCTCCCACAATCAACACTCGTCTCTCACACCGCTGTCTCTCTAACGTCTTCTTCGTCTTCTCCGCGTCAACCCGTCTCTTGCTCCCGTCTCTTATACCCTCACCTCGTCCGCTCATCGTATTTGCAAATCGATCACCATCACCACCACATTTTCACCTCCGTCCCTTACACCCACTCACTTATTACCCCGTCTCGTATACCTCCCCAAACGTATCCTCTCTTAGACACCCACCCCCTCATATACTCAGACTCTATCGCCACTCCGCAAAGCTGCTCCCCCTCCACACCAACATTCTACAGTACTCCCCAATCACTTAACCAACTCCCCCCCCCCCCGTCTCTGGCATACATCTATCCTCCACTCCAGGGCCCCCCACAGCTTCCTCATTCAGACCCCCCCCCACGTCTCCTGTACATCCCTCTCCACCCTCCAAAACTCACACCCCCCTCTCTCTAACCCCTACCATATAAACCCCCCTCTCGCCTCCACAGCCCCCCTAAATCCCACCGTCAATTTCCTAACTCACTCTCCCACCCATACTCCTTTCCCATATACACCCCCCCACCCCATATATACACCCCCACCCTACCCTGCGCCCCCCTACCCCCCAAAAACCCACTCGAAATTTGCTAACCCACACCCCCCCCCCGAAAAAAATCCATTCCCTCCACTCACCCATCCGCCCCCTCCACCACCATCCCATCTCTCCCCCCACCGCTGTCCCACCACTCCCCACCCCAACTCTGCCCGCCCCCAACTCTGCCCGCCCCGCCCCCGACCACGCCCTCCGGCCCCGCCCCTTGCCCCCCCCTGTGGCCCCGCCCCCTCTCGTCCGCCTTGGAAGAAGGCTAATATCATGGCGGATAGGGACAGCGGCAGCGAGCAAGGAGCGGCGGGCGGCAGCGGCGGCGGCGGCATCATGCACCCCCTGCAGCAGCAGCAGCAACAGCAGGAGACGCAGGAGCTGGCGTCGAAACGCGTCGACATCCAGAACAAGCGCTTCTACCTGGACGTGAAGCAGAACGCCAAGGGCCGCTTCCTCAAGATCGCCGAGGTTGGCGCGGGCGGCAGCAAGAGCCGCCTCACGCTCTCCATGTCCGTGGCCGTCGAGTTCCGAGACTACCTGGGCGACTTCATCGAGCACTACGCGCAGCTCGGGCCCAGCTCCGCCATGAGTGGAGGAGGAGGAGGAGGCGGCGGCGGCGGTGGCGGCATTGGAAGCGGCGGTGACCACCAGTCCCACCATCAGCAGCTGCAGCCGGACGAGCCGCGCCGCGCCCTCAAGAGCGAGTTCCTCGTGAGGGAGAACAGAAAGTACTACATGGACCTCAAGGAGAACCAGCGCGGGCGATTCCTGCGAGTCCGCCAGACCGTGAGCCGGGGCCCCGGTCTCGGTGCCCAGGGGCAGACCATCGCCCTGCCGGCGCAGGGCATGATCGAGTTCCGCGACGCGCTCGCCAAACTCATCGACGACTTCGGCGTGGACGAGGAGCCCGCGGAGCTGCCCGAGGGCACGGCGGTGACGGTGGACAACAAGCGCTTCTTCTTCGACGTGGGCTCCAACAAGTACGGCGTGTTCATGCGGGTGAGCGAGGTGAAGCCCAGCTACCGCAACTCCATCACGGTGCCGCTTAAGGCGTGGGCCAAGTTCGGCGCCACGTTCAGCCGCTACTCCGACGAGATGAAGAAGATTCAGGAGAAGCAGCGCGAGAAGAGAGCCGAGCCCCTGGAGGAGGAGGAGGGAGGAGGAGGAGGTGGCGACGATGGAGAAGAGGATTGATTCAATCGGTTGATGGTTTATTATTGTTATTGCTCCTACTACTACCATAATTACTACTATTAATGTTTTAATTTTACGATCTCCCCCCCCCTCCCCCTCCAAAAAAAATGTTATGCCCATTCACAGTTTTGTTTTTAATTATTTTTTTGGTTTTTATTGTGGTTAATTTTGTTCTTTTTGTTTTGGTTTGTCGTTATTCAGAAGATGGAGCCCTTCTGCGTGGTGTTTTGGGGTTGGTGTGAGAGGTGTTGGGGGTTGGGATTTGGTGAAGGGGGGAAGGAATGGGGGCATCTGTGGGTGAGATTTTAATTTGTCATCACTTGATTATTCTATTTTCGGAAACAAAAAAAACGAAAAAACTGCGAAACAAAAAATATTCACAAGAATGATAGAGAAGAGAGAACAAGTAAGAAATGCAAAAAGGAAAATGCCAATGTGAGAAACGAAGAGTGAATTGTGAATTGAACTTGGCTTGGACTGTACTGTTCTCTAGTCATTCATCGTTTAAGGTGAAGACGTCACTACAGAGCAGAACAGCATCTGAAGATTAAAGTTCAAATCAACCACCACTCCTCCCGATGACCCCACTTTCACCACCACCTGTTAGCAGCAGCAGCAGTGCTTTTGGAAGGTTTGTCGCATCTCGGCCTTCTGTTATCTGCTTGCGCTGTCCACAATCCAACATTTGCTGGAAACAGTTGACATGAAATGTCCTAGACATTGCTAATGAGCACTGTTTTTTCGTACTTGTTTCGTATAGGGGGTGTGAGGGAGTTGTTGACAAAAAAAATAAATATCTTAACGTATTTTAATTTAAAATTTCCCTTCCCAAAAGGTAACTTACGTTTTATAATGACCGTGCAATTTAAGTGGAGAAAAAAAACCATTCGAATAGTATGCACACTATCGTTTTATGTCTTTTGATTGGATTTTATGTAATAGCATGGAACAATCAGAATTGGGTTTCTATCAGAAGGCTAAAAAATGTTATCCAGCCACTACTGACTCGTGGTTTAAGAATGAAAATGCATATTATTTGTGTTTAGGTTAAGTATACAACACGGTCGCTGCTGCATCATTGCAAATGCAGGTCCGCCCAAAGTTTGCTTACTTTTAACTGCAAAAGGTAAACCACGTAAAGTAATGTACATGTTCGTTTTTTAGCCAGTTCAGTGAGCTCAGACCATGTATGGCCCCAAAGAATCCCATAGTTTAAAGGGAAGGCATTTTGTCGGTATTCTTTGTCATAGTTTTGGAGTTGCCACCGATCCAACGGCGGGTGTCCGGACACAAATGTAGGCCACGTCGATTGTGGGATTGGGTTATTATATAGCTATATATATTTTATGGTTGTAAAAAAAATATGCGACGACACAAAAAATATCTATTTACGTGGCAGATTTTTTTTTTAATTTTATGAGGTCCGTGGCCCAATAGCCACCCATTAATTGACCCCCCTCTCTCCCATTCTCCACCCCGCCGCACATCTCACCTGTCCTTGGGCTCATTTTCTGTGTTGCTAGGTGGGGTTCGGAGTCGGGGATGGTCAGGCAATGCACAAATTGAGTGGGTGTTTTTGTCGACGGGATTGCTAATGGATAATGTTCCATTGCATTTTTCTTTTGCTACATTGCAACCTAACATTGTGTTGCTGTGGGATGAATTTGTGTGTCCATCGCAGGTTTGAAATTAAAAACAAAAGCGGTGGTCTCAAAAGTTGTAGTCAACCATTGTGATTCTTGTAAGCAGAAGGCCCAAGGTAGGCAGCCAGGAAGCAAACAAAGTTCCAATATATGCTGCTATTTATATATAAAACCAATTACAACACCTGTTTCGTCATTGATAAATGTATGTTACCGTAACTCATGAGCGCCTCATAACTAGGACAACTTGTAATCCGGGTGTAGTGCAGTACTTGCTAGAATTGCAGTTTGTTGCATTGTTGTGTACAGAAACGGCAACATAATTGGTGCGGCTTTGCTGGCGTATTGGGTGCCAACCAACTCTAAGATGCCAGCACGCCTTTCTCTTTCTACGCTCAGCCTCTCGGCATGTGTCTATACACTCAGCTCATTGGACGTCGTGTTAAGGCAATAATATACATAGATATAAACAATATTAGAAAGTGGTCGGGGTTAGTAAATCATGGGTTAAGAGTTTTTGAGCCTTGCATTTGTGCGTTAACTTAATGTTAAGTACATTTAGAAACGCGCAACTCTTATAACCTAGGTTATTTGGTTTTTCCCAGTGTTTTTTTTTACATTTCTGCTGGTTGACTGGCACCGTGTTAACCCTTTCCTGACGGGTGGAACTGTCGGAAAGTGGACTGTCTACAACCGGGCAAAGTGAATTAATAAGCGGGCATTCTAAATGCATGGCCCATCATGTTTCACTCAACAAGACACTTTTTTTTTTAAACTGGCATTCCAATTGATTCGAATGCTCGTGTTCTCGCTTGTATTGTCCTTCCAAATGTGTCGGTAACATACACCGTGACGGGAATTGTTTGCAGAGTTCTTGGGTCTTTGCAGTGGAATTCAAATGTAGGTCCACGTTGGCTTGCAATGCCGATTGTAGGAATGGGGTTAAACAGCTGTCTTAAGTGGTGTGTCACACTGTAAGTGAACTTTGAACTTTGGCTCGAGAAACTGGGTTCAATTTCACAGGCAGTGCAAATTGGCCATTGCCATGAGTCCTCTACAGTGCAGCGTACACTTTCAGGAGGATGTGATTGAGAAAAAAAAGCTCAGTTTGGTTCTTAAAACAAAAATGTTTCCAGTAGAAATGTTAACATTGTTTGTTATGCTTTTTCATTTGGGTTTGACTGCGATAATATTAACTCGCCAGCACCAGGCTAGCTTCAATGTCAAATGAGAAGCCGCAGACATTGTACCAGCGCAAAAATTTGGAGGATAATGCAGAGGTTGCTGCTGGGTTTGACTCGTGATGCAGCCAACAATCGCTTTGCATGAACTGGACGACTTAATGTTTACAGTCTCTATAATTATTGAAGGTTTGCTAAAATGGCTGCCGTAAAAGCCCACGCGTATTTTTTTTTGCTTGGTTTCATTACCTTTCCTCTTAACCGAGAAGCATTTTCAAGATTGTATTTTTTTCTTTTTTTTTGGTTGGTTAAGTTGGGCGAGGGCCAGTGACAGGCAACTTATGGCAGATGTACATACATGCCTGTTATTAAAGTTTAAACCTGCTTGTGTCAAAATATATAGAATGCGAGAATTGGCGTTTGCAGCGTGGTGCTGGTATGTTAATATAGCGATTTCTATTTCCCTTTTTCCCCCTTTGCCCTGCGGCCTTTAGAGTAAATATCCTTTGATTTAAAGCTTTCGTGACTGCAAGGATTCATATTCTTGGTTCTTTCGGTAAAGTCACGTAGAAGGGAAACAATAAAATAATAAATATTAAACAATTACATTCTCACGACGTTTTGACTGCAACACAAGCAATCATCATCAGGTGCGAAAACCACAGCAAGAAATTTTGAAAAAAGTGGCAGTTTTTTAACCTTAGCACCACGGAGAGCGATTTGGCAGTTATTCAAATTTTCTTGATGAGGTTTTCACACCTGATGATGATTGCGTGTGTTGCAGTCGAAACGGCGTGATAATTTTATTTTTTATATTTGTATTATTTTATTGTTTCCCTTTGACGTGACTTTACCGAAAGAACCAAAAATATGAGTCCATCTATGTTCGGAAAAGAGGAGGGGGGAGACGAAAATAATGGATGAGGTCTGAAAGCCACCGTAAGCGTGAACAATCAATTAAGACCCGAAATGGTTTTTCAAATCCTTCCAATGATTGCTAAGCCAGAATCCATCTTCTCAGTTGAAATTGTCTGTGTTTGTATATGTGGATAGCCTCATGAACGAATCTCTCATGGTAGCCAGATGGCTTGCAAAGAACCTCTGTCTTGGAGAAGTCAATGTCATGTGAGCCTACTGAATTATAACAATTATAACGTGACTTTACCGAAAGAACCAAGAATATAGTAAATATCCTGCTTTGCAGGCGTTTAGTCTGGTGGCCCGGTGGGTTTTATTTTTTGTTCTTCTGTTGTACGGCGGATCTCCGTTGCCCTGTATGTATGTTGAAGTGTTTTCGCGCACCGTACGTAGCCAACCGTGCTAATCAGCGGTGTGTGAGAGACTCGAACGCTGCAGTAGCAGTGACCGTTATCACGATGTGACAGGATATCCGAATTCAGCACGGTCGTGCAGTTAACAGTGCCGTCGCCTGGCCTCTCTGATACAGCATTAATGCGCACGTTTATGACTTGGCTTCTCAATTATACGCCGTTTCATCTTCATTGATCAGAACGGACAAGTTTAATTCCGGTTGTATGCAGTGACGTAAAGAAAAATAATTCTGAAGTGCCCCCCCCTACCCCCCCCCCCCCTCATGAAAACGGTGGGAAGGAAGGCGAGTTGTGACAAAGCTGAATGGCAGGTTCAATTCAAATACAACCTAAGTCTGCCAACGCATTTTTTGAGAGGTAGGGGTGGGATGCAATTTAACAACCAAGCGTTTCATACACAGCAGTGCACTATTATTGATGCAGTGGAGTTGCTTTTCTTCCTACAATTTTTAGGTGCGGGGGGGGGGGGTTGGAAAAGGATGTGATTAATTTACAGTAATCGGGTCAAGCAACCCTGAAGGAGGCTTTTGGCACTCCGCTGTAACTTAAAACTCGAGAGAGGGTTTTTCATTTGAACGTTGGATGCCTTGTTGCTTGGGCTCTGACGCAGCATTGCAGAAGCAACGATGGTTCCCACAGGCCAGAAGAAACGCATTGGCCGAGTGAACGGGGAGCCGCCACGCACTGCCACCTAGTGCTGCCAATGCCAACGAGGAAGCTCTTCCTCTTCCCTTTCAAACGTTTTTATTATTTCTCACTCATTTTTAAAGCGTATGAAATCAGAATTCAGCATTCCTTTTTTTTTGCTACGTTGTAATTCCTCAATCTCCCCTGTGAACCTGTAGGTATATCTGGTTTATCTTAGGTGTCTTTAGAATGTAGAGTCACAGTAAAAAAACTATTTATGTTTTTGTCTGCATGGGCACTTTTTTAATGAAAGTGGTCATCAAAGTTTAACAAGGATAAAGCAATGTTAATTTTTGGTTAGTATTAAATGTAAATGAGATGTAACTTCAAGCCTATGAATATTCCCAATGAAAATTATTGTGAAATGGATAGCATTTACTTGCATTTTTTTTAATACGTCAATGGTGCTAACATTAAAACAAGATATTGCTGTGCTACAATGAATGTTCTTGTGCACATTTTGACCTTTTTAAATTATTTTATAAGGAACATAAAAAATACATGAGAATGAATTCCTATTATAATTTAAACTGAAGATCTTAAATTTGCACCAGGTGTACAAACATAAAATGTGAGGATTTTCAGATGACATTATTCAACATTTGGGAGATATACTTTATCTTATAATACATATTGGAGTGTAACGTACTTAAAAAAACGGTAACTGGGGAAAATGGTTTCTCTGTAATGCCTGTGGAGTATGCTTTCAAACTTTTCTAAATGCTGGGCAGGTGATTTGATCTTCAAATGCGGTGCTGTGCACCTTGCAGAGCAATGAAATTTAGATACATTTCTTTGGCCTCTGGGTATTTGAGAAATGTAAGCTATCATTCAAGCTTCTGTTTTGGGTCGAGTAAATATTAAATGATGCGAATAAAGGAAATGATTCCAATATTGCATGTGGCAATAAAACGACTGCTTACAACCTTGAACTCGGCAGTCTTGGCTTAACAAAATCCGGACAGCTTCGGTGTCATTGGAAGCATTTCCGACGGAAGTTTTAATATACGTGATTAAAAAATCCGGTTTGCCTGCACAATTACGTAGGACATGCAGTTGCTAAGGAAACATTTTTCTTTTGGAATTGAAAATGATAATCTTTGCTCGCCCCGCTACGGGGGAAAAGCTGCTACAAGTCATCGGCACGCTACCACGTATGCAATACCCTCGCCGCATGGGCTGAGCCTGACATCACTGCTGCTGGAAGTGCGTCATGTATGCACTTTCCTGGCTGCTGCTACTACTGCTTGTCTGTGTGTGTGTGTGCGCGCGTGTGGAAGCATGGGTTTCAGAATGTCAGATGGTTCTTGGTGGTGGGGGAGGGGAAGGAGGTGAGTGACGAGAGTTGCTATTCCCCTTGTAAAGTCAATGGGACACTATGACTCTCTGGCACGTCGAGCGGCAGCAGTAGTCCAGGACTATAAACTTGTAACAAGAAGTGCACGGGCCAGCACAGCTTTACGGGCAGGCCAAGTCTCAGGCAATGATGCAGGGTCCCCTTGTCAGTATCTTCATTCTGTGTTCCTGCAATTGTTGCCAGCACCTATTCATCCACTACAGTTGATCCATCTGTATATACTCTTTTGAAAAAAGGCTTCATTTGTACAGTATAAAGAAAACAAAAGGCCTTCCCAATGAATAACGCTTGGGTTACTAATTTAGGCAGGGTTCCTAGCTTCATGCGGAGCAGTTACAGAATAAATTCTTTGGTAATTGTGCATTCTTCAGCTACTGGCTTTTGCCGTATATATCATGCTCCAAAGGCAAATGGAGGGGGGGGGGTTAAAGGTCTTTGTCTAGACAGTTCTGAGTACTAAGAACGAGGAAAACCGAAGCGAAAAGTCAACCTCTGTTGAATGTGCTGCTAATGGATA